TCTATTCAGCTTTCTGCTGTGCCTCAGAAGCAGTGGAAGAGGGTCCAAGCTCCAGCCCTGCTCCTCCCCAGTCACACCAACAGGGATACTTGAAGCTACCAGCAGCATCAAGAGGCATACTCTGATCCTGCCATCCCAGCAACAGGGATGCCCCGAATCACCAGCCTCACCGACAGCGGTGCCTTGAAACCCACCAGCCACACTAACACGGATGCCCTGAACCTGCTAGGCACACCACCAGCAATGCCCTGAAGCTGCCGGGCACAAAAACAGGGGTGCCCTGAACACGAAAGCCAACCAACAATGATGCCCCAAAACTGCCAGCCACACCAAAAGGATGCCCCAACCTGCCAACCACACCAACAGGGATGCCCCAAAACCACCAGCCACACCAACAGTGACAAATGATCCCACCAGCCACATCAACAGGGATGCCTGAACCTGAAAGCCACACCAACAGGGATGCCCCGAACTTAGCTGTTACACCAATAGGGAAGCCCCAAACATGACAGCCACAACAGCGATGCCTCAAAACTGCCAGTCACGCCAATAGCAGTGCCCCAAACCCAGCAGGCACATCAACAGGGATGCCGCAAACCCACCAGTCACACCAATAGGGATTCCTCAAACCTGCCTGCCACACCAACAGCAATGCCCTGAACCTGCCAGCCATATCAACAGCAATGACCAAACCTGATAGCCACACCAACAGCTACACCCTGAACCCAACCAGCCCCATGAACAGGGACACCCTGAGCCCACCAGACTTAACAACAGTGATGCCCTGAACCTTCCAGCCACACCACCAGTGGTGCCCTGAATCTGGCTGTCACACCAACAGGGAGGTCCTGAACCTACCTGTCCCATTGACAGGGGCACCCTGATCCTGCCTGTAACACTGAAAGGGGCAGCCTGAACCTGCCAACCACACTTACAGCAGCACCCTGAACCTGCAAGACATACCAACAAGGATGTCCAGAACCTGTAAGCCAACCAACAGGGATTGCACAAACCCACCAGTACACCAAGAGCAATGCTCTGAGGCAGACAGCCACCCTAAGAGGAACACCTTGAACTCGCCAGCCAAACCAACAACAATTTCCTGAACCCACCAGCCACACCAACAGCAATGCCCTGAACCAACAGCCACACCAACAGCGGTGCCCCGAACCTGCCAGCCACACCAATAGGAACACCTGGAACCTAGTTGTAACACAAACAGGGATACCTTGTCACAACCTGGCTGTCAAAACAAGAGGGATGCCCCGAAACTATCAGTCACACCAACAGGGACACCCCGAACCTGTCAGTCACACTAAGAGGGATGCCCCGAACCTGTCAGCCACACCAACAGGATGCCCTGAACTCGGCTGTCATAATAAGAGGGATGCCCCAAACCTGTCAGCCACACCAATATGGACACCCCGAACCTGTCAGTCACACCAACAGGGGTGCCCTGAACCTGGCAGTCACAAGAGGGATGCCCCAAACCTATCAGCCACACCAACAGGATGCCCTGTACTTGGCTGTCATAACAAGAGTGATGCCCAAAACCTGCCAGCCACACCAACAGTGATGTCCTGAACCCACAAGCCACACCGACAAGGATGCCACGAACCTGCCAGCTACTCCAAAACGATGCCCTGAACCTGTCAGTTACACCAACAGATGCCTGGAACCCACTTGCCAGACTAACAGCAATGTTCTGAACCCACCAGCAACACCAACAGGGATGCCCCAAACTGACCAGCCACAGGAACAGGGATACTCTGAAGCCAACAGCCACACCTACAGCGATGCCCCAAACCTTCCAGCCACATCAACAGGGATGCCCCGAACCTGGCGGTCACTCCAAGAAGGATGTCCCAAAACTGGCTGTCACACCAACAGGGACGTCCCAAACATGCCAGCTACAACAACAGCAATGCCCCAAACTCACCATCCACATTGACAGGGACACCCCAAACCTGCCAGTCACACGAACAGCAATTCCCTGAACCCCGCAAGCATACCAACAGCAATGACCGCACCTGCTAGCCACGCCAACAGCTATACCCTCAACCCACCAGCCACACCAACAGGGATGCCCAGAACCTACCAGCCAAAGCAACAGAGATGCCCCGAACCTGCTAGCCACACCAAGAGGGCTGCCCCAAACCTGGCTGTCACACCAATAGGGATGCCCCAAACGTGGCTGTCACACCAACAGGGAAGCTCCAAAGATGCCAGTCACAACAACAATGATTCCCTGAAGCTACCAGACACACCAATAGCAAATCCCTGAACCTACCAGCCATATCAACAGGGATGCCCCAAACAAGCCAGCCACTCAATGGGGATGCCCTGAGCCTGCCAGCCTCACCAACAACAATGCCCTGAACCTGCCAGCCATACCAACAGCAATGCCCCGAACCTTCCAGCCACACCAGCAGGGGTTTCCTGAACCTGGCTGTCACACAAACAGGGATGCCCTGAATCCAGCTGTCACACCAATAGGGAGGTCCTGAACCTGCCTGTCCCACTGACAGGGGCACTTTGATCCTGCCTGTAATACTAAAAGAGGTACCCTGAACCTGCCAACCACACTTACAGGGGCACCCCGAATCTGCCACCCATCAACAGTGATGGTCTGAGACCACCAGCCACACCATCAGGGATGCCCCAATCCTGCCAGTCACAACAGGGATGCCCCAGACCCACCAGCCATATCAAAAATGATGCCCTGAACCTGCCAGCCACACCAACAGGGGTGCCCCAAAACTGTCACACAAACAGGGACACCCGGAACCTGGCTGCCACACCAAGAGGGATGCCCAGAACCTACCAGCTGCACCAACAGGGATGCTCCAAACCCACCAACCACACCAACAGGGACACGCCAAACTTGCCAGCCACACCAACAGGGATGCGCCAGACATGCCAGACCAAACAATAGCGATGCCCCAAACCTGTCAGCCACACCAACAGGAGTGCCCTAAACCAGGCTGCCACACCAACAGAGTGCCCTGACCCCGGCTGTCACACCAAGACAGATGCCCCGAACCCACCAGCCACACCATCAGCGATGCCTTGAGACTGCCAGCCACCACAAGAGGGACACCCAGAACCCTCCATCCACACCAACAGCAAAGCCCTGACCCGCCAGCCACACAGTGATGCTCCAAATCTGCCAGCCACACCAACAGCGATGCCCTAAACCTGCCAGCCACATCAAAAGGGACTCCTGGAACCCAGCTGTCACACAAACAGGGATGCCCCAACCTGATGTCACACCAACAGGGATCCCCCGAACCTGTCAGCCACACCAACAGGGATGCCCTGAACACACCAGCCACACCAACAGCAATGCCTGAAACCACCTGCTACTCAAACAGGGGCGCCTTGATCCTGTGTACCACAACAGGGCCTCCACGACCTGCCCACCTCACGACAAAGATGCCCCAAACCGGGCTGTAACACAGACAGGGATGACACAAATCCATGACCCACACCAACAGGGACACCCCAAACCCACCGGCAACACCAATGGCAATGCCTTAAACCAGCCAGCGACACCAACAGGGACACCCCAATCCTGCCAACCACAACAGGGATGCCCCAAACCCACTAGCCATATCAACAAAGATGACCCAAACCTGCCAGCCACACCAACATAGGTGCCTCAAACCTGGCTGTCCCACCAACAGGGATGCCCTGAATCTGGTTGTCACACCAGCCGAGATGCCCCAAACCTGCCTGCCACAATGACACAGGCTCTCTGACTGCACCTCATGACAGGGATGCCATTAATGTGTCTGCTACAGAGAGGGGTGCCCAAAACCCACCTGCCACACCCACAGGAGCTCTTGGATCTGCCTGCCTCAATGACAAGGATCCCAACAACGAGCCTGATTCACTGAAAGGAGCACGCAAAACCTGCCTGCCACAACAGAGGCTTCCCCAACAACCCTCTTCAGTGACAAGGATGCCCACAACCCTCCTGTTACATAGACAGGGGGCACCCCAAAATGGCCTGCCTCACCAGCAGCACACCCTAAACCAGCCTGCCACACCCCTAGGGACACCAAATATCCACATTGCACTGACAGGGACATCCAGAACACACCAATGACACTGCCAGGGCACCATGAACACACCTGCCACACTGACAGGGAGGCCTGAACCCGCCTGCAACATCAACAAGGCCACACTACCTGGCCCAGCTCACCTACAGGTTTGCCCTGATCTTGGTTGATTCAACCACAGTGACACCCTGACCCTGCCTGGCTCACCATCAGAGGTGTCCTGTCCTCGGCTAAATCTCGCAGGGGCAACCTGACCCCAGCTGCTTCTTAGAAAGGGCACCCCCACTAGGCCTACCAAACCAAAAAGGGTACTGTGACCTTGCCTGAATCTCACAGGTGCACACTGGCACCTCATCTTTCACATGTAGAGTGCTCCAAGCCCAGCTGACTCGATGACAGGGGTGCCAACACCCCACCTGCCACAAAATGGGGAACCCCAACCCTGCATTGTCAGTGACAAAGGTACCATGACCTCTCCTGAATCTGATAGTGGTGCCCAACCCAGACTGCTTCAAGGACAGGGGCACCCCAACCTTTCCTGACTCTGTCAGGAAAACCCCAAACTCTCCTTAATCTGACTGGGCTACCCCAACATCTCCTGAATCTGAATGGGGTGCCCCAACATCACCTCAATCTGACAAGGGTGTCCCAGCCTCTCCAGAATTGGACTGGGTTGCCTCAACTTCTCCTGATTCTGACAGGGGTGCCACAACCCCTCTGGAATCTGACTGGGGTGCCCCAACTTCTCTTGAATTTGAATGGGGTGCCCAAACCTCTCCTGAATCTGATGGGTACCTCACCCTGGACTACTCTAATGATGGGGGCATCCTGACCCCCACTACTTCAATGACACAGAAACCCCAACCTCTCCTGAATCTAACAGGGGCACACCAACATCTAAATCTGACAGGGTTGCCACAACCTCTCCTCAAACTGACAGGGTGCCCCAACCCATTCTAAATCTGACTGGGGCACCCAAACTCTACTAAATCTGAATGAGGTACCACAACCTCTCCTGATCTGACTGTGGTGCCCACATCCTGGACTGCTCTAATGACAGGGGCACCCTGACCAACACTACCTCAATGGCAGTGGCACCACAAACACGCCGCCTCATCAAAGGGTGCCTGCCCCAGCCTAAATGATGGACAGGAGCTCCCACCCTGCCTGCTCAGCCAAAGGGCTCCTCAACCTAGCCTGGGACCCTGAACCCACCTGGTGACAGGGGCGCCCCAGCTCCACCTGCCTGCCTCTCTGCACATGTGCCCCCAGCTTCCAGCCTCACAAAGGGCCTGACTCCACCTCACCTGCCTCAAAGCATCGGGACCCGGACTCTGCCTGCCTTCAAGACAGGGCGCCCTTCAGCAAAACCAAGCCTGGCACCAACCCCCCTTTGACCTCTGTCCAGACAGACTGAACCCCCATTCTCTCTACCCTTCCATTCTCTCCCTGCTGAAATAAAATCTTTTCTGCTGTAGTTGGCTGCCTCCTTGCCCTCTTAGAACTGAAAAATCCTAAAGCTTGGCAGTCCTGGCAGTTGGCAATGTCCCAAGTAGGGGCTCTGCTGGGCAAGGAACATTCCATTAGGCTGTGCATTGTCTTTGCCCAGGCTTGTTGGGTTCAGGTCCTAACTCTTCAAGCCTCTTTAGCCCAACAGGGGCTAACATCTACTCCCAGCATCCCACAGACAATGAAAACCCAAGTAGATGTGCTCCACTTATTGAAAAGGCAAAGTCCTAGGGACGGCGCTGTGGCGCAAGGGGTTAATGCCCTGGCCTGAAGCGCCAGCATCCCATATGGACACTGGTTCTAGTCCCAGCTGCTCCACTTCTGATCCAGCTCTTTGCTATGGCCTGGGAAAGTAGTACAAGATGACCCAAGTCCTTGGGCCCCCACACCCACGTGGGAGACCCGGAGGAAGTTCCTGGCTCCTGGCTCCTGGCTCCTGGCTTCGGATCGGTGCAGCTCTGGCCGTTTGCAGCCATCTGGGGAGTGAACCAGCACTCTCTCTCTCTCTCTGTCTCTACCTCTATCTGTAACTTTGTCTTTCCAATAAATGAAATAAATCTTAAAAAAAAGCAATGTCCTCCCATTCACACAGTTAAGATGTAAAACAGCCAATCTTGAGATATCAGTATATATTATTTCTAAATAATATATAATCTTAAGGGTGAATTAAAGTATTATATTTAATATCATAACTTTAATAAGAAAAACAAATGGGGCTGACATTATGGTGTCGCAGGCATCCACTGTGGGTGCCAGTTCAACTCCTGGCTGCTCCATTTCTGATCCAGATTCCTGCTAATGGCCTGGGAAAAGCAGGCAGGGATGGCCCGAGTGCTTGCTCCCCTGCATCCACATTGAGACTCCGATGATGTTAGGTTGCAGCCCAGCCCCAGCCATTGCAACCATCTGGGGAATGATCCAGCAGATGAAAGACCTCTCTCTCTCTCTTTGTCAATCTCTCTCTCTTTCTCTCTAACTCTGACATTCAAATAAATAATTTCTTAAAAAGATATAGATGGATGGAGAGATCCAAGATGGCAGAATACAGAGGGAGCTTACTGCTCTAGTTTACGAGAAGAGTTTATCAAAAAGCGGAGAGTGAAGTCTCAGGGAAGAGTTTAGGAGAAAACGGCAGAGCCAACTCCACGTTATTTAGAGGGACACTGTGGACCTATGTGGAGGGTGTGGACATGCACAACTCAGGACCCCAGCAGCTGACAACCTCAGCACCAGCTCTGGAGTGAGCTGAGACCAGTCTGAAGCAGCCCAAGCCACTGGAGCTAAAGCTGCAGGAAGAGCCTGGTGAGAATGACAAACAAACAAAAAAGAAAAAAGAAGAGGGAACACTGCTCTACTGACCACCCTGCATCGGCATCCTTTAACAAGCCAAGAGAGGGTGGGTGCCATTTTGGACATAAGTGAGAGCTGAACCAGCTCGTTCCCATGTGCCCAGCAACCAGCTGAGCAGAGATGCCTGAGTCTGCCTGGGAGAACTGACAGGGGCTGGGTGATCCTGACTCTGGCAGGCTGGTGCATCAAAACTGTGGAAACACTGTGGCTGCTTGCACAGGCTCAGGGTGTGTATGGGACGTTGGGTAGTCAATGTGGGAGGCTCCACACGGGATTCCCTGGTGGGGGTCATTGCTGTGGAGTCACACTGAGGACTGCACGGATCCTTTGTGTGGTTCTTGTGGCAGCACAATTACACCCACTGGGGCTAGCACCTGTGGCTGCCAGTGGAGCTTCCCTTGGTCTCCCTTCCGCTGCTGCTCTGTGGTCAGAGGTCAGCCTGGGTTTGCACTGTGGGCTGCGCTTGTAGCAGGAGCCAAGAGCCCAGCTGGACTCCAGCCAGGACTGAGAAAGCAGGTGCCTGCCCTGGGGCGGCCTCTGACCTGGCACTCACCCCACACACCCCTTCCTCATGAGGGCTCAGCACAGGGCTGGGCTGGAACTCCAGGCCTCCTGACAGAGCTCCTTAATGCAAAACACAGTGCTTTCAGGTGCTGATGGCATGTGTGTGCCCTCTGGAATGCAACCCCCATGTTTTCCCAGAAGTTGTCTTCCTGGAAGTTAGGTTTCTGGGGGCAATTTTGTAAAATGGCCCAGAGTGGACAGCGGAGGTCCCACTGCCTGGGAGGGACAGAGACAAGGGGTGGAAAGCACCCTGCCCCAAACTGCCCTTAGACATGGTCTTTGCTTCTCTCCTGCATTTCCCAGATCCAGGCCACGCTGCCCTGGCTGGGCACCTGACATCCCAGGTGGCAGCCCTCAGAGGCAGGGGCAGGGCCTGCAGGTCCGCAGCCTGCAGAAGGAACAGGCACTCGGCCCACACCCACACTGTCTCTATGTGTGCCTACTTGCTTTTAAAAATGACTGACTCCTAAGAAGGTAACTCTCAATCTGATGCAACCAATGTCTTAGGAAACGTGTCCTGTTCTTCAGGAACAAGCTGTTTTGCATACGATCCCATGGCTGTCCTGGAATTGGGTGGAAGGAAATGGCCCAAAAATCCCCTTCCCTACTTCCTTGGTCCAAACCTTTAGGCCTCCCTGTCCTTGTTGAGGGGGTATCTGAACACTTCTCTGCTTAAAAAAAATCCAAAAACCCTGTGCACATTTGCTTTTTGGCAGTATATGGAAAATGCTGAGAAGTACACTCTAAGAACCACCCTTAATCCAGGGTGGGCATTTGGCACAGTGGTTAAGACCCCACCCAGGATGCCTGCACTTTAAGTGGGACTGCCTCCTGCTCATGCAGTCCCTGGGAGGCAGCAGGGACGGCTCAGGTCCTCGGGTCCCTTGTCACCCACAGGGGAGGCCTGGCTTGAGTTTCCAGCTCCTGCTCCAGCTTGGCCCAGATGTGGCTCTTGTGGGTATCTGAGCACAGAATGAGTGGGAGGGAAAATTGTCGCTTTTTCAAACAAAGTCACCCTAAATCCCAAAATACACTTTTTGGGTGTAGATCCTTGCAGACTTTAGAAGCGTGCCCCTACCTGCACATCATGACAGAAATGGACTTCCCTGTTTTACAACCTGTGCTTCACCTGCACTCTGCTTAACAGTGCAATGAGCACCTGAATCCATCGGCACCACTTTCCCCAACGTGGTTTCTCACCGTCAGTCACCTAGGATGCCCTTCATGTAACCTACAGGTGGTGAGGCTGTTCCCAGGTTGAAATCCTGGACTCCCCTTGCGGCCAGAGCATGGGCCCCCAGTGGAGGAGCTCGCAGAGCTCAGGGCTGTGTGAGGGGTCCAAGACTCCCCTTGTGTGCAATGGACACTTCAGGGCTGGCCTGCAGCCTCAGTTCCCGATCTACAGCACAGGGAGAGGACCCTTGGGTGTCCAGCCCCCCTGAGTCTCAAAGCTGGGCTTCACTCATCCTGTCAGGTCAACTACAACGCTCTCGGAAGGTTTAAGGGACTGGTCCCTGTGTTCCAGCTTCTCATGCCGCCATCAAGATGCTAATGCAATTCTGGGTCCTGACAATGTCTGAAAACTTTCTCCTCCTTTCTGGAAACATCTCTGCCGTCAGGTTCTGAGCAGTCATTCTGTCTTGTCTGGACTCTCAAGGCTTTCACTGTGCAAACACGCATCCTCCACTCTGGATTCTTCTTGAAATATTTCTGTAGGGATTTCTTCCTCTAGGTTTTCCTTCAGTTCTGTTGGTGGAACTCCTGTAATTCACAACCAGTACCTAAATTCAGCTTTAATTTCCTTTTCCACTGACCATCTAGTCCATCTATTCAGGTTTTTTTTTTCTCTTCCTAATTTCTGCAAGGTTTTTTTCATCATAATCTTCAGTTTTTAAAACATTTGCAGGGGCCTGGCATTGTGGCACAGCAGGTTAAGCTGCAGCCTGCTACAGAGGTTGGAGTCCCGGCTGCTCCACTTCTGATCCAGCTCCCTGCTAATGCACCTGGGAAAGTAGCTGAAGACAGCCCAAGTGCTTGGACCCCTGCACCCATGTGGGAGACCTGAAAGAAACTCCTGGCTCCTGGCTTCAGCCTGGTCCAGTTCTGGCCAGTGCAGCCATTTGGGGAGTGAAATAGCAGCTGAAGATCCCTCTCTCTGTAGCTCTACCTTTTCAAATAAATAAATGGTTTTTTTTTAAGGCTCAAGGTTTTGGACTCCCACACCTACATGGGAAACCTGGTGGGTGTTCCAGGCTCCTGGCTTCAGCCTGGCCCAGTGTGACCACTGAAGATACTGGGGACTTAACCCTTGTAGAAAAGATTCTCTCTCTATCTCCTCTTCTCTCTCTGCAGCTCTGCTTTTCAAATAAATAAATAAATAAGTCTTAACAAATCAAAACTACTGAAAACAGCTTTGGCAGTTGTGTCTTTAATTTAGAGCTCTTTTGAGTCCACATACTTTTTTTTTAATTTGACAGGTTGAGTGAGGGAGGGAGGGAGGGAGAGAGAGAGGTCTTCCTTCCATTGGTTCATTCCCCAAATGTCTGGTACGACTGGCGCTGCACTGATGCGAAGTCAGGAGCCAGGTGCTTCCTCTTGGTCTCCCATGTGGCTGCAGGGGCCCAAGCACTTGGGCAATCCTCCACTGCCCTCCCGGGCCACAGCAGAGAGCTGGACTAGAAGAGGAGCAACCAGTACTAGAACCCGGTGCCCATAAGGGATGATGGTGCTGCAGGTAGAAGATTGACCACGTGAGCCATGGCGCCAGCCCCATACTTTTTTTAAGATTTATTTTATTTATTTGAAAGACAGAGTTACATAGAGAGGACAAGACAGAGAGAGAGGTCTTCCATCTGCTGGTTCACTTCCCAGATGGCCACAATGGCCGGAGCTATGCTGACCCGAAGCCAGGAGCCAGGAGCTTCTTCTGGGTCTCCCAAATGGGTGCAGGGGCCCAAGCACCCTGCACCTTCTACTGCTTTCCCAGGCCACAGCAGAGAGCTGGATTGGAAGAGGAGCAGCCGGGACTAGAACCAGCACCCACATGGGATGCCAACGCTTCAGGCCAGGGCTTTAACCCACTGCACCACAGCGCTAGCCCAACACATACTTTTTTAAAACTATTGCAAGCTTTATTATTTTGTAAATACAAAATTTTTGAAGAAAATCTCTCTGAGGATATTAGCAGTGAGCATTCACTTTTAAAGGACTTCTTTTGGAGCCTTCCACTTTGGCACAGTATGTTCAGCCACCAATTGAGATGCTGGCATTCCCAGTGGACACCAGTTCATGTCCCAGCTGCTCCTCTTCCATTCTATCTCTCTGCTAATGGCTGGGAAGGCAGTAGAAGATGGCTCAAGTGCTTGGGCCCCTAAACCCACATGGGAGACCCAAAAGAAGATCCTAGCTTCTGGCTTTGGATCGGCTCAGCTCTGGCTGTTCTAACCATTTGGGGAATGAACCAGTGGATGGAAGGCCTCTCTCTCTGTCCCTCTCTCTGTCAGTTTATAACTCTGCTTCTCAAATAAATAATTTTTAAAAATAATTTCTTTTCATTTTATTTGAAACACAGAGAGAAACCTAAGTAAGAGAGAGAGTTCCCATATACTGGTTCCCTCCCCAAATGCCTGCAATAGCTCCATCTGGGCCACACCAAAACCAGGAGCCAGGAACTTATCTGGCCTCCCACATGTGTGGCAGAGACAAGCAGCTGAGCATCACTGCTGCCTCCCAGAGTGTGCATTAGGCAGAAGCTGGATTGGAAGCAGGGCCAGGACTTGAACCAGACACTCAGACAGGAGCAGGCATCCCAAGCAGCACCTTCACTGCTCTGCTAATGCCTGCCCAGCCTTATTTGGAAGGCAGCATTACAGACAGAGAACGAGAGTGAGAGAGAGAGAGAGAGAGATTCCATCCTCTGATTCACTCCACTAATGGCCACAATGGCTGGAGCTGGGCCAATCCAAAGCCAGGAACTAGGAGCTTCTTCCCAGTCTCCCACATGGCTGGAGGGGCAGCACTTCTGCTGCTTTCCCAGGAACAGCAGCAGGGAGCTGTATCAGAAGTGGAACAACCAGGATTCCAATCCGTGCCCAAAGTGGGTGCTGGCACTGCAGGCGGCGGCTTAAACTACTATACCACAGTGTGGGATTGATTTCATATTTATACTATTCCAGTGGTATAATTTACATATAATAAATGTACCCATTTTATTGGAAATTCAAAGCATTTTGACATGCACTGGCAGGTATATCACATGCACTGGCAAAGAAATGAAAAGTCCTGTAAATACCACCAAAATCCCCCAACAGTCATTCTCCCCTCCTCACTGCCCCACTGCAGCCCAGGCATCACTGACGGGCTTCATGCCCCTGCAGATGCGTTTTCCTTACTCTAGAAGCTCACCTAAATGTAGCGTGTAGAACGTGTTTGAAGTCAGCAGTTACGTGTGCATCTGGAGCTCAGTGTCCTGCGATGGCTGAGCAGGATCCCATCCTATTCACACGCCACGGTTTGTTCATTCATTTAATGATGGACACTTGGCTGGGTTCCAGCATGAAGCCAAGGCACAACTCAGTCCTGAACGTTCGTGTACAACTGTTGATATGGACAAATGTTCTCATTTCTCTCAAGTAAATACCAAGTTGTAGAATTGCTCTGTTTTGATAGGAAGGATATTCTTCTTAAGATTTATTACTTATTTGAAAGGCAGAGTGACAAGAAAGAGGCAGAGACACACAGAAGGAGGCAGATATGCTCTACTCTGGCTCACTCCTCAAAAGCCTGCAAGAGCTAGGGCTAGGCCAGACCAAAGGCAGGAGCCAGGAGCTCCATCTGTGAACAATTTTTATTTATTTTATTTCTTTGAAAAGCAGAGAGACAATTAAAAAGTTACAGGGGGCTCCCATTTGCTGGTTCAATCCCCAAATGCCCACAACAAGGGCTGGGCCAGGCTGAAGCCAGGAGCACACAGCTTCATCCCAGAATGCAATGGGATAGTTTGTGGACTGAAGGAGCTCCTGGGTTGGGGGGGGGTGTCACAGGCCAGGCCACCACATCAGCATGCAGCCAGCTCCCATTTCTCTGCCATGTGATGCAACCTGGGGCTCCTGGCAGGCTGCCAGCACCAAGTCCTTAGACCCTCCCACATAACAATCAGGAGCAAACAGACCCCTGGTGTTTAGTTACACAACACAGACACCAGGACAGACACACCAGGCCTGGGGCAAGGCTCACCCAGTGGGGCCCTCACTGGAGAGCCACCCTCCCAGGCCACTGTGTGGATTCCCTGCTCTCAGTTTCTTAGAGATTTTCCCCTTAGCCTAGACTCCCCTACAACTTTCTGCCAGTCTCCCACCAGAAGTCTCATGGTTTCCAGGATACTGAAACCCACGTGTGAGGAGAAAGGGGAACACGCCAGCTCCAAGGGAGGACTCCTTGCCCAGCTGTGTCAGGGGCTCCCAGGCCCAGGGACCCAGAATACAGATTTCTGCAGAGAGGGGGAGGGGCTGCTGCTTCGTTGAGCTGGGTGGGGGAGGCACGTGGGGTTCAAATGCTGCTTGGACAGACTTTGTGGCTGTCCGTCACGCAGAGCACCTCACCTCTATTCCAGAGCTGTCTGGTGCTGCCTCTCGTCCACCTCCTGGGCGTCCTGTGGAGCACACGCATTCGCTCCCCACCCTCGGCGTCCTTCTCTGTGGAAATGGCTGCCAGGCCACTGCACGCAGCTCCCCTGGTGAACAGGGAAGGGGAAACGTGCTCAGTGGCTCTCCCAGCACCAGGGACCAGGAACAGTGAACTAGTGGGGACCAGCGGGACTGCGTTTGTTCCAGAGCCATCACACGGGGACAGAGAAGGTGCAAACACTCAGCATGGCCGAAGCCTGAAGAAGAAGAGCGGGAAAGCCCTGGGGCAGCACTCAGGGGTGTAGCTTGGCCCCAGGCTGCAGGAAACCCCTGAATACCTGCGGTTCAAATGCAATTGGGATCCAAACTCAGCCAAGGCCTCAAAATCATTACTTCCACCTTTGTAAAAAATTAAAAAGACTTTTGGGAGGTGCAGTTGTAGGTTTATAGAAAACTATGCACAAAGGGAAGAGAGATCCCCTCACTCATGTGGATCCCCCACCCCACCCCAGCTTCCCTATAGGCTGCTAGCTTGCATCAGAGTGGACCATTTGCTACCACGGATGAGCCAATGGGAGACACTGTTACTAAGCCACAGTCAGGGTTTCTAGTGGGGCTCCCTCAGGTGATGTAATTTCACGGGGTTTGAAAACACCCAGATGCCAGGTATCCATCCTGGTGGGGCAGACAGAACTGTCCCCTGCTGCTTGGAAGGTCCCTCTGCCCCTGCCCTTCCCCCTGCATCCTTCTCCCTCTCCCTCCCCAGACCCTGACTCCCGCTGATCTTCACACCTTCCCCATCCTTGTGCCTTTTCCCAGTTGCCACACAGCTGGAATCAGAGTAAGCAGCCAATATGGATTCTGGTTTGTGTCCTGACTCATCCACTTCCAATCGAGCACCCTGCTAATGGCCTGGGAAGAGTAGCTGAATATAGCCCAAGTGTTTGGACCCCTGCCACCCAAAAGCGGGATACCTAGATGAAGCTCCTGGCTTGGCCTAGGCCAGCCCTGGCCATTGTAGCCATCTGAGCAGTGAACCAGCACTGTCTCTGTCTCTGTCTCTGCCTGTCTCTCCCTCTCTCATTAATGCTGTCTTTCAAATAAATAAATCTTAAAAGGAAAAATGAAAGCAGAATATGAACAATAGAGCTTTAAAGAAAACAGGCTTCAACACACATTCCAAATGTTAAGCTGCTCACAAGGTTACATTAAGACTGACTCTGAGGAGCTGGTGTCGTATTTCAGTGGGTTAAAGCCATGGCCTGCAGCACTGGCATCTATATGGGCTGCTCCACTTCTGCTCCAACTCCCTGCTAATGGCCTGATGGCCCAGGTACTTGGTCCCCTGTGCCCATGTGGGAGTCCCAGAAGAATTCCCTGGCTCCTGACTTCAGCTTGGCCCTGTCCTTGCTGTTGTAGCAATCTGGGGAATCAACTAGCAGAAGAAACATCTCTCTCTCTTCTCTCTCTCTCTGTCTCTGTGTGTGTGTGTATGTGTGTGTGTGTGTGTGTGTCTGCCTTTCAAAAAATAAATAAATCTTAAAAACAGAAAAAAGACTGAATCTGGGGAAGGCCTAACTTCAGGAAATGAACGTTGTGATTCAATCGTTAGTAGTGTTTATTGTGGTCATGTGGAGGTGGGGAAAGCAATACCCACAACATGCTCTCTATCAAAAATATTAGAACTATTTCAGGGCCAGTGTTGTGGCACAGCAGATTAGGTCCACGCCTGCAGTGCCAACATCTGATATGGGTGCCACTTCAAGCTCCAGCTGCTCTACTTTCAATCCAGCTCTGCAATGAATGAGCCTGGGAAAGCAGCAGAGGACAGCCAAGTGCTGACCCCTGCCACCCATGTAGGACTCCTGGAAGAAGCTCCTGGCACCGGGCTTTGGATCAGCTCAACTCTGTCTGTTGCAGCCATTTGGGGAGTGAACCATTGGATGGAAGACCCCCTCACCTCTCTCTGTAACTATGTCTTTCAAATAAATAAATTTTAAAAAAAAAGACACTACTTGGGATGTCCCTACCCTATAGTAAAGTACCTGGGTTCAAGTGCTGGCTCCACTCCCAATTCCAGCTTCCTGCTAATGTGCACCCTAGAAGTCAGTGATGATAATAACTCAAGCAGTTATATCCATGGCACCCACATGGGGAGAAATGGACTGAGTTCCCAGCTCTTGAGTTTGGGCTAGCCCCATCCTGGCTGTTGTGGGTATTTGAAAGAATATTTGTCTTTCATATAAAATTTTTAAATATCTTAAAAATGGCTTTAAGTAACTATAATTTTGTGGTGAGGATCAGTTTGTGTCTTTAAAAATTTTGTTTCATTTTAAATATACTTTTTTCATCTTTATCTCAAACTTCACATTTCTAAACTGTTTATATTCAGAATGAATGAAATGATTAATTAGAACAGAGAAATTAAATATAAAGGAAACTGTGTTTACTGGTAAGTCTATACAACTTACAAAGAACACAGAAGGCCAACACACAAATCAGGCAGTTATAAAAAGATGGAGCAATAAAAAGCAACAGTCTTTAAGGAAGGTCCACACACAACATTCAAGGTCACCAAGAATTCCTGCAATTACAGGCAAATGTTTATGGATGTAAAGCTCAGCCCAAAAGGAGAACTCTAGCTTTCCTCAGAGTCTCAAAAAAGTGTAGAATGCAAAAAGGAACTCAAATTGATGCTTCAGGTCACTGAGGCACCACATCAGGAATATCAGTTAGAAAACTGGTAAAAGAACCTAGGGAGAGAAACAGTTCACATACATCATGATGTGTCCTCCACTGGAGGCATAAGAACACTGCTTGGGATGCCTACATCCCACATCAGAGTGCCTGGTCCAAGTCGGATTCACTTCTGACCCAGTTTCCCACTAATACACATCCTGGAGCAACTAATGATGGATTGAGCTCTTAGGTCTCTGTCACCCACGTCAAGGATCCAGCCGGAGTTCTAGGTTCCTAGTGCTGACCCAGACCAGCCCTGGCTGTTGCAGGAATGTGGGCAATGAAGCAGTGAGCAGAAGAGATCTCTTTGTCTTTGTCTCTCCCTCTTGCTTCCTCTTCCTTTTAAGTAAAATTTTAAGGAATATAATAAATAAACTCACTGTCTTCGCATCTTGGGAAGAAATCCTACCATTTCCATGGCCAGCTGTAGGCGTTCAAAGTCATGCCTCAAATCTTCCCCCTCCACCGTGAAGCAATCCTGCTTATGTAAAATAAAACAGGGGAAAATCAAATTACCTCTGAAAGATGTGAAACATTCAGAGCTGCAGTACTTGAAGATATGTAAGCCTATGTATAAATGCAAATTAGAGCTGGTGGAATATGTGAACACACTCAAATTCATGAGACCTCCCTCACTTCATAACATAGTACAAAAACTCAACACATATGCACTGGAACACCAGTATTCTACCTTTTTTCACCCCCTTGCAATCACTAGGACAAAGATCTAAAAAGTGATTTAAGACCTAGCAGCACTTACAAAGTATGCTGATACCAAGTATGATTTTAATCTGTTCTTCAGATTTGGGGAGATTCAAAGCATTTAAGAGCTTAATTTCACACATCGATGTCATTAATTCAACATACATTTACCAAGTATATACCACATGCAATGCACTTAAGTAGATCCTAGTGACATAAAAATAAATTTTAAAAGAGGCAAGAATTTAGTTAAAAAGTTAAAGCAGGGGGCCGGCACTGTGGCTAACTTTGTTAATCCTCCGCCTGCAGTGCCAGCATCTCACCTGGACACCGGGTTCTAGTCCTGGTTGCTCCTCTTCAAGTCCAGCTCTCTGCTGTGGCCCAGGAGGGCAGTGGAGAATAGCACCCACATGGGAGACCAGGAAGAGGCACCTGGCTCCTGGCTTAAGATCTGCCCAGCACCGGCCATGGCGGCCATCTGGGGAATGAACCAATGGAAGGAAGATCTTTGTCTCTCTCTCACTGTCTACAACTCTACCTGTCAAATAAATTTTTTAAAAAAAGTTAATGCAAAACAAAAACTGTAGTATAATTTTCCTTCAGGGTAAAACTGTTTTAAATCCATGGCAGAGTTGTTTCATAATATGTATTTTTCATCATTTGAAGACCTCTGTTATAAACAGTTCCTAATGAAATCATACGATACCACGAGGATGTTCATTGCAGCACAATTCACAGTAGCTGAGATATAGAATCAACGAGATGTCCATCAACTACTGACTGAATAAAGAAATTATCTTTCCCCCTCTCTCCATAACTCTGCTGTTCAACTAAATAAGTAAGTGTTTAAAGGTAAATAAATATGGGGTTGGCACTGTGGCTTAGCCGGTAAAGCTCCTGCCTATAGTTCTAGCATCCCCTATGGGCACCAGCTCCAATCCTGGCTGTTCCACTTCCAATCCAGCTCTCTGCTATGGCCTGGGAAAGCAGTAGAAGAGGGCCCAAGTCCTTAGACCCCTGCACCCATGTGGGAAACATGGAAGAAGCTCCTGGCTCCTGGCTTCGGACAGGTACAGCTCCAGCCTTTGCGGCCATCTGGGGAGAGAACCAGTGGATGGAAGACACACCTACCCCCCCCCTCTCTGCCTCTGCCTCTGCATCTCTGTAACTCTGCCTTTCAAACAAATAAATAAATCTTAAAAAAAGTAAACAAGAGGCCTCATAGTAGACCAGCAGAGAGTGAGAAATAAAGCCAGAAAAACGCTGTCTGAAAGAGTGATCACAAACTTACAAAAGCAGAGCATGTGGAAGTAGGCATATTTGTGCTACAGAAATATCAGAACATAGTGAATTGTTTCAAGAGATTCTGCTTGAGCTGTAACAGGCTTACCTCACAGGAAAACATATACACGCCTGCATTCCTATACAGGGAGCAGCAACCAAGGCTGGAGTATGGCTCAACTCCCTGTGCAGCACAGACATGCAGGGCTATAAGACTACCTCTTACTAAAACAATGACCATTAAAGCCCTCCTTGACAGCTGCACCCTGCAATTCAAGCTTGGTTCAGATAAACAGAGAATGGGAGAGACAAACCTTGTACCCTGATGGTAGTCACACCAGCTTTAAGGTACAATAATAGTAGACAATAGCCAATATATCACATTAGTAGTTAATTCACTGACAGAATTATTACTACTTGAAAACTGATATTTATTGAATATTTACTGAATATCTTATACATATGAGTCACCATAAGGGTTACTTGATATGTATAACCTCATTAAATTCTCAAAACACAAAGGGGACATTACCTATACCTTTATGTGTATAAACACAACTTCAGGGGTTAGAAAATGAACCCATGGCCAAAAACCCTGTAGATAACGGGACTGGCCAACCCACTACTGTCTCCCATCCCACACTGCAGCTTAAAGGGAATTAAGTCTCCATACAATGGGCAACAACAGGTTCTGTATAGAAAGCAAATTTCTCACTATAGGTCCCACTGAGACTTTACAATATTCTATAAAATACGTAAGTAATGCAGCACCAACAGCAGAATATTCTTCTCTGCCTGTAATGCTAGATAATTAACCAAAAGAAGTCATAAAGAAACAAACTTAATCTGTCAGGGAACATACGAGGAGGAGTATGCCATGGAACACTAATTCTCCTGGGTGTATTGTGAATTCACAATGTCCACCTGCTCTCCACCCATCACTGGTGAGGAAAGTGAAAGATGGAAAGGGTGAGCTTTGCAGAACAGCAAAACGGCTTACAACTCTTCTATGAAAATGTACCAGAGGGGCCAGTGTTGTGGCAGAGTGTACTACGTCACTGCCAAAGATGACAGCACCCCATATGAGCACTGGTTCAAATCCCGGCTACTCCATTTCTGATCCAGTTCCCTGCTAATGTGCCTGGGAAAGCAGTGGAAGATGGCCCAAGTGCTTGGGCCCAGGCTACCCAAAACATCAGAGACGCAAATGGAGTTCCTGGCTCCTACCTCTGGTCTTGCCGAGCTCCGGTCTTTACAGCCATTTGGGAAATGAACCACTATATGGAAGATCTTTCTTTCTCTCTGTCTCCCTCTAATTCTGCCTTTTAAATAAATAAATAAATAAATAAAGCTGGAAAAAAGTATTGGCATGGATTGAAATGCCTATTTTCCAAAATTTTAATTCTGAAACCAAAAAAAAAAAACTTGATTATGAAAAGATAATGCAACTAAACTTTCTTTTAAAAGAAAAACATATACATATCTTGTTCCTTCAAAAATCAAATAGGCTAGATCTACAATTAGTGGAATTTATAATCACAGGCAGTAGAAATTAAAAACATAGTTTGTTAAAGCAGGAATGAACACATATAATGTTTCCAGAAAGAATATCTATCCGGCGCCGTGGTTCACTTGGATAATCCTCCACCTATGGCGCCAGCACCCCGGGTTCTAGTCCCAGTTGGGGCACTGGTTCTGTCCCAGTTGCTCCTCTTCCAGTCCAATTCTCTGCTGTGGCCTGGGAAGGCAGTGGAGGATGGCCCAGGTGCTTAGGCCCTGCAGCCACATGGGAGACCAGGAGGAAGCACCTGGCTCCTGGCTTCGGATTGGCACGGAGCGCTGGCCGTAGTGGCCATTTGTGGGTGAACCAATGGAATAGGAAGACCTTTCTCTCTGTCTCTCTCTCTCTGTCTAACTCTGCCTGTCAAAAAAATCTAATAATTAATTTATTAGTTAATTAATAAGTATAGGTATGTGTATGCATTCAGCCTTCTACCTGTAACCTTCACTGAACGCTAAAGGAAAAACTTGTTTTTTCTTTTTGGTTTTCTTTAAGATTTATTCACTTATTTGAAATGCGGTGTTATACACGAGGAGGAGGAGGGGGAGGGGGAGGAGGAGGGGGAGGGGGAGGAGGAGGGGGAGGAGGAGAGGGAGGAGGAGGAGGAGGGGGAGGAGGAGGAGGAGGGGGAGGAGGAGGAGGAGAGAGAGAGAGAGAGAGAGAGAGAGATGTTCCACCTGCTGGTTCACTTCCCAAATGGCAGCAATAGCTGGACTTCAGCCTGTCCAAAGCTAGGAGCCAGGAGCTTCTTCTAGATCTCCCACTTGTACCATCATCCTCTGCTTCCCAAGGTATGTTAGCACATAGCTAGGTTGAAACTAGAGCAGTCAGGACTTGAACCAGAAGCCATAAAGGATGACAGCATGACATGAGGAGGTTAAACCTGCTATACCACAATGCCAGCCCCATTGTGTTTTTTTCTTTTAAGATGTATTTGTCTGAAAGGCAGAGTTACATAGGAGGAGAGACAAAGTTAGGAAGAGAAAGACCTTCCACCTGCTGATTCACTCCTGAGATGCCTCCAACAAGCTGAAGCCAGGAGCCAGGAGCCAGGAGCTTCTTCTGGGTCTGCCATGTTGGTGCAGGGGCCCAAGTACTTGGGCCATCATTCTCTGATTCCCCAGGCACATAAGCTGGGAACTGGATCAGAAGTGGAGCAGTCAGGACTGGAACCAGCGCTCCGATGTGAGATGCTGGTGTAACAATTGGCAGCTAAACCCCCTGAGCCACAACCAAACTCCAGATTTCTCAAGTTGTACCAATTATCAGTTGATTTTTTGGTGATACTACTTCATAAAAAAATATCAGGGACCGGCATTGTGGCACAGTGGGTTAAACTGCTGCCTGTGACCATGGTGCCTCATACAGGCACAGTTGTTCAAGTCCGAGCTGATCTGTTTTCCATTCAGTTTCCTGCTAATGCTCCTGGGAAAGCAGTGAAGCATGGCCCAAGTGCTTCAGCCCAGACAAACACGTGGGAGACCCAGATGGAGTTCCTGGCTCCTGGCTTCAGCCTGGCACAGCCCAGGCAGATGAGGCCGTCTAAGGAGTGAACAACAGATGGAAGATATGTCTCTCTCTCTCTCTCTCCCACTCTTTTCTCCGTTTCTCTGTCATTCTGCCTTTCAAAAAATAAATATTTTAATCATCTAAATATAATGCAAGTAGTTTAAATGGGAGTGAAAATTCAGAAGCTGAATTCACTATATTTTTAAATCTACTAAATTCTGTAAAAATTTACAGAAAGTGTAAATATGAATAACTGAACTTCGTGATACACAGTAGCATTTCAAAACATTTCTGAAAAATAGAATTAAAAGACAAGTTTATTTTGGTGCAAAAACATTTGAAATCTATACATCATATTTTCCTAATACACATTTTTCATTCACTTTTTGAAGACTCCTCATACGCATGGATTTCTGAATTTTCTTGGGGGCTAGTGCTGTGGCATAATGGGTAAATCTGCCTCTATGCAACAGTTCAAGTCCCAGCTGCTCTACCTCCAATCCAGTTCCCTGCTTGTGAAACTGGGAAAGCTGCGCAAGATGACTCAAGTACTTGGGCCCCCAGCACCCATGTCAGAAACCTGGAAAGAATCTCCTGGCTTCGATCTAGCCCAGCTCAGCCATGTGGCCATTTAGGGAGTAAACCAGCAGATGCAAGATCTCTCTTTCAATCTCTTTCTCTCTCTCTGTAACTCTGACTCTCAAATAAATGAATATATCTTTAAACAATAAGAATAATAAATAAATATTCTTGCTCCAAAATAAACTTTTCTTTTCATTCAATTTTCAATGAACTTTTTGAAGTACTATCACTAATACAAGGCAGGTTACTTTACATTAATAGAGTCAAAATTAAAAAATAAATATCAGGCCAATGTGGCGTAGTAGGTTAAACCTGTGCCTGTGATGCCAGCATCTCATGTGAGCACCATTTTGTGTCTCAGCTACTGCATTTCCAATCCAGCTCCAGGCTAATTGACTGAGAGAGCAGCAGATGATGGCCCAAGGGCCTGGGCCTCTTGACACATGTAAGAGAGACCTGGAAGAAGCTCCTGACTTCAGCCTGGCTCAGCAAGGCCACTGCTGCCATTTGGGAAGTGAATCAGCAGGTAAGGGATCTCTCTCACTCTCTCTCTCTCTCTCTCTCTAACTCTGCCTTTCAAATAAATAAGTAAATGCTTTTTAAAAAGGGAAGAAAGAAATAGGACACTGTGTATCTTGGAAAAAGTCTAAGAACTTTTAAAACCCTAAATATACACTCAAATCTTTGAGTCATTAAAGTATCAATTAATTACAAAGGATTTCCAGACATTACATCTTATTTCAAACAACTAAAAAAGAGAGAGAGAACTATTATTTTAACTGTCCGACATACCAGTTCCATTTCTATTGACTTCACAATTCTTGTGAATATGGGTAACAATAAAACTAGACAACATCACTTCATGAGAAGTTGTGGATTACTCCTGACTGTGGAAGCTCAGGAGTAAATGCTGCGTTCTGAAGAAAGACCCAAGTTTTCTGAGCCATTTGCCTTTGATGAACTTCATGCTGCACATTCGAGAGGACTGTCAATTAAATTACATAGCCATGCTCTAGGTCAACATAATAATATCAGGCAAAGGTGTGCGTCCCAGACTTCAAAACATGCAAACCAGCTTCCAAGAACTCTCTTACAGAGAAAGGCACTAATCATCAGGAACACTTGTCACCCTAGAGTTGCGAAAGGCAAATCACTCTGGAAAGCATAAGTCATTTTTCTAATATTGAAGATGAATAAGCAGCTTACAATTTTCTTGAAGAAAACTACAAAATACAAAAACAAAATGTATAAACTAGTATTTTGATATGATGATAGTGATACTAATTTTTATATTTGAAAGTTGTACCACAGAAATTTTTAGATTGCATGTGTGAAAGTGCTAGTTAATACCTACCACTAGATATGGGAAACAAAGTACTAGTGAAAAAGCTAAAGTTGAACAGCGCCCTACATTTCAGAATGCCATGAACTCCCTTCTCACCTGATTGAGATAGTGATACTCTTCTGGCTGTTTAAGGTGGAATGCTAACCTCTTTTCTGCACTTGTGTCTGCCAGGAGTTAATAGAATACATGGTAGTTCCTGTTGGAAACAAAAGATAGCTTTATAATGAGCATGAATTATGGTTATCATTTAACAGCAAAATTCATCAGCTTTGTTTCATTTTCTTAAGAAAAACATAGTAAGTTCAGTAAGATTACCTACAAAATAAAATGACCTTTTTTAGATGTGGAACACACAGAATAGGATAAAGTCAACAAAACAGCAATGTCAGGACCTCTGAAAAACCTCTCATCCATAACACTAAGGGAAACCTGGCAAATTTACCAAAAGTAACTTTTTTAAAAAATTGTAGAAATCAGCCAAAAGCTTGCAGTCATCCATGGAGTATAAGTTTACTCAAGAAAAACAGCTGGGGCTGGCGCTGTGGCATAGCAAGAAAAGGCACCGCCTACAGTGCTGGAACCTCATATGGATGCTGGTTTGAACCTCGGCTGCTTCACTTCTGATCCAGCTCCCTGCTATAGCCAGGTAAAGCAGTGGAAGATGGCCCAAGCCCTTGGACCCCTGCACCTGTGGAGAGACCAGGAAGAAGCTCCTGGCCCAGGTTTCAGGTCAGCCCAGCTCTGGCCATTGAGGCCATTTGGGGAGTGAACCGGTGGATAGAAGATCTCCCTCTCTCCCTCTGCCTCTGTGTCTCCAATAAGTAAATGAATCTTTAAAAAGAAAAAAGAAAAAGAAAAGAGAAAAACAGCAGAATCTTTTGCAGCATTTTATTTGTCCTACTCTATGCCCAGGTCACCAACTACACAGGTGCCCTCGACACCAATGGCCTACAATGGTGGACACCAGAAAATGGGCAGCCACCAGAAGGGGCAGAACAGGCTGAGAGATTGTTCAGAGCCTCAGTCCGTAAGACGTACCATTACCTCACCGCCTGCTGATCCCCTGAAAGAAACTATATTTAAGACTGACTTTACGTGAATTGATTCAAAGTTCCCATGATGAAAAATCTTCCACAGATACATCTGTAGCATGCTCCAGCTGTCTGAAGCAGTGGGTAGAAGTCAAGGCAAGTCACAAGCTAATCAAAAAGCTTAAAAGGAAAAGCTGGTGAACGTGATCTCTAGAAGGCTGTAGACAGCTGGCTGGGAAAGTGGGAGATGACAGCCCACGGACATGAATGAGGAAACACACAAGTCAGGACTGCATGCCCATGCAAAGACTAAATGAGGCACTACACTCTCCCCACTGGCTAAATCTGAAGCTCAGCACAAGCAGGAAATAAAGACTGCACTGTAAATAAAGTAAATCTTTAAAGGGGAGGGGAGAAGGAGGGGTGGCATTGTGGTGTAGCAGCGTAGGCTGCCGCCTGCAGAACCAGCATTCCCTGTGTGCGCAAGCTCAAGTCCGGGCTGCTCTACTTCCAATCTAGCTACCTGCTTAGCATACCTGGTAAGGCAGTGAAGGATGCCCCAAGTGCTGGAGCCCCTGCCACCCATGTGAGAGACAGATGAAGCTCCTGGCTCCTGACTTCTGCCTGGCCCAGCCCCAGCCACTGCTGCAATTTATGGAGTGAACCAACAGATGTAGGACGCCCCCCCCCATAACCCTATGTTTCAAATAAATAAAATACACAGATCAATTCACAATAGCTAAGATATGGAATCAACCTAAATGTCCATCAGTTGTAGACTGGATAAAGAAATTATGTGATATGTACACCATTGAATACTACACATTATTTTAAAAAAATGAAATCCTATCGTTTGCAACAAAATGGATGCAGGTAGAAAACATTACACTAGAGAATTAAGCTAGTCCCAGAAAGACAAACACTATATATTCTCCCTCATCTGTGAAAACTATGAATACCTAAAACATAATCTATAGGGGCTGGCACTGTGGTGTAGACAGTAAAGCCGCCTGTTGCAATGCCAGCATTCTGTATGGGTGCCAGTTCAAGTCCCAGCTGCTCCACTTCCAATCCAGCTCTCTTCTGTGGTCTGCGAAAGCAGTAGAGGATGGCACAAGTCCTTGGGTCTCTGCACCCATGTGGGAGACCTGGACAAAGCTCCTGGCTCCTGTCTACAGAGCAGCTCTAGCCATTGCGGTCATCTACAGCAGTAACACTGACACTTTACATGCAATGACTTTGAACAACAGCCCTTGTCTCAACTGTTGAGGAACAGGGCTTCATATATTTTATATATATATATATATATATATGTGTGTGTGTGTGTGTATGTGTATATATATATATATATATATATACACACACTATTTCTTGAACTCTTCACCTAGCATAGGACTAACCTTAATGTGTATAAACTAGGTTCAAAATAAATCTTAATAAAAATAAGAAAAGGAATGAGAGGGAGGAGGAAGAAGGATGGGAGTGCAGGTGGGAGGGAGGGTAGCGTGGGAAGAATCACTACATTCCTAAATTTGTGTTAATGAAATGCATGAAGTTTGAACACCTTAAACAGAATTAAAAAAAACTGGCAAAAATAGAAAAATTTAAAAACAAATAAATAAAATAAATCTTAAAATTAAAAAAAAAAAAAACAAAGAGACTGCACTGGATCTGTTGAATCCTGAAAGCACAGCCCAATACACACAGGGTCCCATGACAAAGTCTGGGGAATCTTGCTGTTTCTAAGTACTTACAGAAATCTCTGTGCAATTGTCATCTGACAAATAAGTTAAACAAGTAGATATTTGACAGCTCACATTGAAAAAAGTATAGAAGTTTTTGCAAAATTAGTTCAGGAAGTCAGAAAACAACCAAACAGCAGGGATAAACAATAACTACAAGCCCTGGGAGGATGAGAACTCTTCTCTATGGTTGTCACATCATGTTACTTTAAATATTCAAATTATCAACAACAAAAATAAAAGTTACAGGCATGCAAGGAAAACAGAAAATACAGCCCATAGCAGGGAGAAACACAATCACAGTAACTGTCCCTGAGAAACCCAGATTAGATTTCACTAGACAAGGTTTGAATCAGCTCATTAAATATGACCAGACAACTAGAAGAATCATTTCTATTTAGTAAGCTAAAGAAAAGTATGAGAATTAGGTCGCATCAAACAGTAACGATTAATAAGTATACAGAAGCTGTAAGAAAATGAGAAGAAATTCTGAAGTTGTGGCCCATTGGGTTAAGATGTCACTTGGGATACCCACATCCCATCTGAGTACCAGTTCCAGCTCCAGCTACTTCACTACCAATCTGGCTCCCTGATGTTGCACTTGGATAGGCAGCAGGTAACGGTCCATGTGTTTGGGAGACTGCAGCAGAGTTCCTGGCTCCTGGCTTCACTCTAGCCCAATCCCAGCAGGCCAGCTGTTGCGGCCATTTGAGCAGTGAACCAGCAGATGGAATCAATCTCCCTCCCTGTCTTTGTGTGTGTGTGTGTGTGTGCTTGCCTTCAAAAAAATAAAAAATCTTTTGTAAAAAAATTTGAAATGAAACAGAAGATCTGAGTAGGCACTGAACCTGAAATAAGAATCCACTGCACTTGAAGACAAGTCAACTGAAACCACCCAGCCTAAGGAACACAAAGAAAAACAAATGAGGAAAAATGGACAGAGTTGCAGAGACCTGTATATGCATAAAGAGTGTCAGAAGGAGAAGAAAGAATGAGAAAGAAAAAAATATTTTTAAAATAGTTCCAGGGGGGTGGAGCCAAGATGGTGGAATAGTGAGGGTGCACACCAATTGTCGCTCCCCCTCTTCGTGGAGGAACGACACAGGACCCTGCGCTGTTCTTTTCGTCTGCTCGGCCCTCCCCGGGTTTTCTGCTGGTTCTTCCCGGGTTGGCTACTATCCCTTCCACCTCCGTGGAAGGGCAGTTCCCCCTGGCCGCATTCCCCACTTCCGCAGGGGAGCGGCACACCGCCGGCCGGTTCTCTCGGGGGCTGCTCAGGTGTTCCTTCAGCTAGATGTTCCCCATAGATGTTCCTGGTGCATGCCGTCTCTCTCCTCCTTTATAGTCCTCCTCCGCCAATCCCAACTCGGCTGAGTACGCTGCTCTCCAATCAGGAGCAAGTCCTACAGTTAACTGGTTGAACTGGAGGCAGCTGTGCGGAAGCTGTTTACTTCTCTCCCAGCGCCATATTGTGGGAGAGCAGATGCATAGAATAAGTCCTAATTCGAGTAACTTAGTCTAGTCCGGATTGCTCCCCACAAACAATAGTCCAGGAAAATTTAGTTTAATAAAAGTGGAGTTACAGTAGCCTCAGAAAAAGGATCAGGAAAAAATTGCAGAGGAAAATCTTCCAGATCTAGTGGCTGTGACTCAGAGAACCTACTGGGAGAACAAGGTCGCCCACCACGTGGAGGCTGAGCCTTGGGAGCCGCAGGGTCTGTGCACCAGTGCAGGAAGAGTAGTGGATGTCATACAGACACAAGCAGGGAGAGCAGGGATGCCCAGGGCTCCAAGTCTACACATCGGCACTGGAAGGGGAGGTGAGCTCAGTAACCCGAGACATTGGTGGGGAAATGGCAGTCAGAATCTAGAGGGGAGCGTGAAAGTTCACCAGACTGACTACAATACAGAAGGAAAAAAGGTGGGGGGGTACTGGTACAGACTAGTTTCTCTCTCTCCACCAACCTTGCAAAGGCGAGGAAGAGACAAAGAGCAGGCCCCCACTCTGGATTTACTTAACAACAGGGGAGAGCTAAGGAACTGAGTCACTACAATTCAGTAGCCTAGGCAACCCAGTGGGAATCCAGAGGAGAAATCGAGCCTGCACAGACTCTTTGGGTAGAAGCCAGAGATCAGAAGCTAAATACAATTAATTCTGCACAGCTGTGCAGTGTGGTATTACTTACCTCCTGAATAAATAAATAAAATAAATAAATAAATAAATAGAGAGAGAGAGAGAGATTTACCACGCATAACCTGAGGGTGTCACGTTTGCACACCCGTAACCTGGAAGAACCAGGCAGAGCTCTCAGGCCACACCCATCTCAAGCCTCCAAGGCTCCTGCAAAGGCAGGCAGTCCACTTAACACAGACATAGTATAAAATAAAAAAAATAAAAAAAAACACACAGTGACGAAAGAAGA